AGTAAATGTTCATGTGAGAGTATTCTTAAGGTTACAGGAACATTAAAAGTATTCCCATAGATGAGAAATGCCACACCTGGACAGTAAAATTAACGAATGTGTCCAGAAATGCTGACCTTGCCTCTCAGGACAACCAAAAGACTAAGCAGTCCCACCTGCCCCTGGAATGGTTGAACATTTACTCACTTGAACTCCCCACTTCCATTCCACCTAGCCCTTCAGGATGACTAAGTTGTGAACAGAGAAGTAACTTCATACCTGAAACACAGTCAAACTATGGGGCAATCTTTAATAACAAAGGAAATCCCAGCACGAAGAACATTAACTGTTAACTTCCTTGAGGCATTAACCTTACCATATGGTTAAGGATACCTGTCTGGGAAAAGACAGTTCTGAAGAAATGTAGATACTGAAACAGCATGGTTTTTAATTAGAAATAGCCTTGGTTGTGACACAGAAAAAAGTCCATGTTAGTTAGGTCCTCAGCCTTTAGGCCCAGAATTAAAAAGACTGCCACTGCTATGAAGTGGAAACAATATTCTCTAGTCGATTGAAGTTCACACTCCTAGTAATGAATCTGCAATATATGGAGACCAAAAACAAATTCCTTTTCTCTGGAGGCTAACCAGGAACACAGGATTCCAGGAATTGGAACAATCTTGGGCTCTCCATTCTCCTTCTGGGTAAAGACAGGACAGCTCACAGGTATCATAAACTTTGGAGATTCAAAAACAGGCTGGCAACCCTCATCACCAGTATTTGAATTCATCTTCCTAATTTCCTTGTTCTGGTGTACCCTTTAACCTTATATGATTGCTCACCCCACCAACAGCTTCCTGATAACCTATCTCCCCTCTTCCTTTCTGTCTTCTAATGGGTTTTATCTGCTGTCTGTCTGCCTACTTAGGTCATAACTACCAGGACTGCAGCAACACAAGGGAAGTTTTAGGTCTCAGTGTCCTAAACCATGAAAGAGAAGGGAAAACAACTCCCTCCTCAGGTGGAGATAGGAAAAATTTTGAAGGTAACAGGAATTTTACCCTTATAAACAAACTTTACTCATTTCCTGGATTGGCAACACATCAGGAAATCTCAACAGACCTAGGAACACTAATCTCCATGCCTACTCTACTCATGGTAACATAAGAACTGGTGGGGGGTGGTTATATTTAAGGGACTATTCTTTGGTCTAAACAGTCTCTTACCAACTTCCATTGACAAGCTGAGCTCAAACCCACTTACCTCTCCTTTCAGGAGGAGTCGGGGTACATGAGGCTCAACTCTTTTGATGGCCTGGCACCATCATTTGTGTAACTATTTCTACTTAAAACAAAAATCACCTTACAGTTTCCCCAACTTTTTTTCTTCTCTATTTCCTAGTGTCTTGAAGCACCTCTTCAAACCCTGAGAACTTTTTTTTTTTTTTTGATATTTTATGAGACTACAGAGATTCTGAGACAAAGAACTCCTAAGATAAAGTGGAGGAAAAAACCCTTTACACGCAATTAGATCTGCTCAGAGGCTACAGGTTAAGAAGTAAATGCAATGGAGCAAAAGTGGTATAGTAACAGGAAATATTTAATTTTCCAATCTCCACTTTCCATTTTTATAAACTGAAAGAAAAAAATTTAATATATTACAAAATATCTGTACATAGACAAGGTACACCCGATGTGGGGCAAAAACAAGAGAGAGAAGGAATACAGTGTCAGGAACCTAAATCAGGGAGAATGAGGTGGCAACTGACACTTTTCTGGTGCAGCATTCTCTCTCAAAACCTGCTGGTAACCATTTTAGTACTGTAACTATATATGCATATCACACACACACACACACACACACACACACACACAGTGGCTGGGTGATGTCTATGGCATAAGCTAACAAAAAAGTCCTACTTACAAATTTGTGCTACTGCCCTGCTTTGAAAAGTATAGATCTGATGTCATTTTATCATTCCTATGGACAGTTGAGGAAAAAACTAAGGAAACTGGGTCAAACAAAATTGTTTTCAAAACCACAAAAAATGATCATGGTCAAACCAGTTTTGCCTTACATTCACGAACAGAATCAGATTTCTCATCTGTTCAAAATAATGTATTTAATGGACTTATCTCCCATGGTACAATAATTAAAACAAAACAAAAACCACTTTTGAATAAAATTGGGTTTGTGATTTTCTAACAATCAAGTTGAAATTCTGCCAAAACTTTACTTCTATCACATTTATAGATAACATAGCTGAAAAATTAACAAATACCTTTTCTTCCTCCACACAGATTCCAGGATATTTGAGTTTCTTTTTTCCTCTGCTTTTAGAAATAGTCAAAATTACCAAACTTTTTTCATTGTAAAGGCTACACTCCCCAAATGGGGGTAGGGGGTGAGATAGGATCACACACACACACACACCATACATACACTCACCCCCTTCCCTAGTAGTAGGGATGGGGGAATGGAGACTTAAGTATATTATTTAGAATATTTGGCATAATTAAAAATAAGGGGTGGGAAAGGGGAAGGAAAAACATTATTGATGACTGCTGATAACCAAAATGTAATTAAAATACAGAGAGAATTTTATTCATATTTGATGGGAGACCAATTATTTTCACTGAATAGATACTTCTGAAAGTATCCCAGGCTTAAGTTCTTTAATCAAAAATGGGAGTGGGGCCCAATGCCTCAAATATTCTAAAATACAAAGGCCCATGTCTGAGGACTAAGAAGTCAACAGACAAAAGGTTCAGATGAACTTTAATGGAATTTTCCAATAGCATGTCAGTGAGCCTAGCAAATCTAATTGGACACACTGGTATAAAAAGCCATCAATGCCAAAATGGCTAGAAGGTTCTTCCTCTAATCAACGTTTGCCCATGAGGGCAAGGCCAAAACCCAGAGAATAATAAAGAAATACACACACCGGATATCTACCTATTTCTGTAACAGGGGAAAATAGTCTTCATGTAAGTATCTGAAGAGGGTTTTTTTTTTTTATTAGTGTACCTTTCTCTTACAAGTAGTTTTTATTTTTTGATATAAGAACTTGGCATTGAAACACAAAACTTCACTTGAGTTCTGAAAACTATTCTCCAAGATGCTGAAGCATGTTTGCCTTTTCTTTGTAAAAGGGCCCTAACTACGTTTCACAAAGGTCTAAGTCTGTGCAGATAACTTATATGAATGTGTATGTTTTTAAAACACATTATATGCTGGTATTCACATAGAAGTGGAAGCCAGAATGAGAAGCCTCCCAAGTTATCCCACCCTGAAGCCCTTCCCTTTTCCATTTCCTGTTTATAAGGCAAAATTCTTGCAATGAAGTCATAATTTAACCCCTTTTACCAAAAACAAAACCAAAATCAAATCTCCTAGAGCAAACTCCCTAAAAGAATTGGCAGGATATACATGCTGAGATGTGTATATGTCAATACTGTTCTTTCTCATGGTCTGTTCTTTTAAAATTATTTTTTAAAAAAGGTCTCAGATATTGATAGATCTTCAGAAAAATATGCACCCTAAACTAAGTTACGTTTCCATGTATTTTCAGGATGTATTTCTTTTCTCTTTGACAATACTACAGTGCTCTCTTTCAAAGGATTTTTTGACATAAAAATATATGTGTAAACAGTATGCTAACTGCTCTTACTAGCCCTCTAGTTATGGAGGCATCATCTCTAACCCCAGTTCAACAGCAATGTCCTAGGCTGTCTGCATTTATAAATCAACTTCACCATCAGAACATGGTTTTAAAAAAACAAAAACATTTTAGAATTGAAAAGTTACAGAGAACAATATAGGAGTTTAAATTTCCTTTCCTTTATTTCAAAAAAAAGTAAAGAATTATCCCAGGTTCTTGGGCATCTCAACGATTAAATTTTTTCCAAACAAATGCCTCAAAAAGAGACACAGAGAGAGAGAGAACGAGAAACTATAAAGAAGGAGTAAAAAAGGGAAGAAATGGGGTAAATCTACCTACATGCCCAAGATTGCCTCTTTCTACAACCTGCTTCATGTGCAGGGAGAGGGGCATGTCTTTTGTCAAAGCAGAGCACACTTTAAGGATGAGTAATTTATTTGGAAAAAAGGTATGTTCAAGATGCTCAATGGGGAAAAAAAGAGTTCACTTGAAAGCAAAATTGTGAGATGGTGGAGAGGAAGGAAACATTTATTTAAATCAGCCAGTCACTCTGTTTCTTAGCAAAAGCCTAAGAGTAGCTCAAATTTTGTGAACACTATTATCTTTAAAGGAAAACAAAACAAAAAAACAAAAAACAAAATTCAAAAGAAAGAAATCATAAAAAAAAAAATCCCCCAATTTTAAAAACCTAAAGAGAGCCTCTCCTGAGCCATCTCAAAATTGAAACTGTTCTCCTTTTCTTCTGCTCAAGAAGTGCAGGCAAATGAACTAATACAACATTTACTTTTCAATTTAATGACCCTCTCCACATTCTCTACTTGTATCTACTAGGTAGAGTTGAAGTAATTGTTCTGGCTGTAGCCCATCCAGGGGGAACTGGTGACAACATCATTATTTTATAAGTCGCCTGCTAGTAGCAAGTGAGCAAGGAATACAACAGACAGCTTTGCAGTAGCCAAATGCAGATGATTACCTCGCTCTGGCAAATGATTTCATTAATGTTTCAGAGAACTGGATGGAAAGATGAATAGGGAAGGAATCTTTCAGGACACTGAAGTCTCTGGGTTAGTAAGGAACTCCTCTCCCTCTTCCCCCTCTTGGCGGGACTCTTGTCGGCCCCCGATAGAGTTTTCCATAAGCAGAAGACTGAGCTGGGCCCCCCCAGTTAAGGCCTGTTCCTGAACTGCTGGCCCCTGTGGTTCCTGGCCCCAGCTCCCCATAGTTCTGCAATTTGGTCTCTGCATGTACCACAGAGTTGCTGCTTCCCTCAGCCTTCAGGAATGGTTGCCCGACCACTGAGTGTAATGGTAAGGGGACCCTGGCAAAACGGAGGTCCTGGTCCCCTGGGAACTGCACTGACCCTGTGCCCTGGTAACTGCTGGACTCCCCAAGGTGGCTCACAGAGCCTGAGAAGGTCCTGTTCTTCACCAGGGTCTGGGTCAAGGATTCTGTCAAAGCTGGACCAGAGTTGCGTTCATCAGTGTCAGTGGCACTGAACCCTGTTTCAGGCCCATCAGTGTTTCCGTAAGTCCTGTTGGGATGGGGTCGGGTGGAGTATTCCATTGGTCTCAAGGCCTGGTGCTCATGTGGCAGGTGGCCAGGAGGCTCTGCTTCAGGCTGGGATAAAAGTTGCAGCAAGGCGGCTGTCACGGCTGGGTTCAACTCCTGGGGGGCGCTGGAAAGATCGCCTTCAACCAGAGGGGGTGGAGGTGGCGGCGGTGGAGGTCCGGGGGGCTCAGGGGGCCTCTTCTCTGGTGGAAGAATGTGAGGAGGACATGCTGTGGAAGGGTTACTTCTTTTAAACACCATCTTAAAAATCACATGTGATTATAAACACAAACATACACACACACATACACACACACATACACTGCCCGACATAAACAAATATCAATACAAGTAACCAAATATATATAAAGAATAAAATCTTGGGATCAGAAAATTGCAATTTATAAATGAAATCAAGTGATTAAAATAAAACAGTTGCATTCTGAATCTAACAGCTGGTGTAAAAAAGATCATATGTTTCAAATGATTGTCCTGATTTTTGTCTGAGATTTCCTCCATTTCCTTCCTTAAGGAACTGTTCTAATATGTAGGCTGTTGGCAGCCTCCCGCCCCTTTTTGCTGTTGGATCAAAACATTAATGAAAATAAAGTAGAAAGAAGGAAGAGGAGAGGAAATAATACACATGTTGTGGTCACATTTCTAGCACATAATCTTGCTGTACAATAGGAGACCTTGTATGGACTTAGCTAACACATTTTACAGAACATTTGATGATATAAGGTTAACACCTGAAATAGAACTTAAAGAATATACAGGAGAGATGAAATAAAGTAAAAACCTTTCATTACCGTCATGTATAAATATACACTTGCTTCTCCAACCTTAGTCCCCTCTCCCCATAATCACATTCTGAAGAAAGGGATATTAACCACCATTCTGTCATTCAGCTTTCTATGTTACAGTAATTATAAAGACTAATCTATCATAATTTTCTATTTTGTTTCCCAACCTCCTGCATTTTTTTCCATGCTATGAAAAAAATCACTTATCGTAATGTCATGCAGAATGAATGGGCTGTTGATAAACATCTGTTTATCTTGGAGACGGTGACAAGAACGGAGTATTTAGAAATGTATTGAACTTAATATACTATACTCTGTCTTTCCAAAGATCTTTGTCTTTCTTGAACCACTCCCCACATTCCCACAACCCCATGCCCCAACCCCACTGCTGGCTAAATTTGCCTTAGCTTGGCAATCATTGTCTGATAACTCCTGCCAAGGTCGGAGAGTAGAGATGTAAAATGTTGTGAGTTTGAGGACATAAAAAACCAAATACAATCAGAACAGTGCTTTTAAAGAGTTGGGAGTCACCCTGCTGAAGAAAAGGTTTAATGTTTTGGGATATCTTCCAAATGATTGATTTTTCTGTTCCCTATGGAACCATATTTTTAAATGTCCATATAGTCAATTCTTTATTATCTGAGCTAGTGATATAAAAGTCATTACTCAGACAAGCCAAAAATAGTTTTTAGTTATAAAGTATTTTGGTAGCATATTTACCATAATTATATTTTGCAAAGACAATAAAGTTAAGTATGTATTCACTTAGCATGCAGGTGAAAGTACTCTGAAAACATAATATTTTAACATTGTGCCCTGGAAGGATAAGTTCAGGTGCTTTATGTACCATACAAGTTAGGGGGGCCAACAGTCCCAAGTTGCCTGGGACTGAGCAGGTTCTCAGGTTGCTGACTTTCAGTTTTAAAACCAGGACAATACAGAGATGGGTTGGCCACCCTGTATACAGTACCCACCCAAGTTGCTTGTTGACAGATTGGCTGTTTGACTAGGTGGTAGGTAAAAATGAATTTAAGGACAAAAAATTAGCTATAGAAAACTCACAACTGAAAAGAAGACATACTGAAAAAGGAGAGCTAACTGGCCTACAAACATCTATAGATTTCAGAGCTTTTTGCTGCCAATACTATATATCTCACTACCTAAGAATATCTCAGTACCAGTTATATTTAAAAGTAGTTTTGGACTATACATAAAATAAAACACCAGTTTTGTTTTGTTTTTTAATACCAATGGCAAACAACTTTAAAAATGCCTAACTACAAAAATGAGCAAAGTTAAACTTATTCTTCCAGCTATACTAGTTTTTATACTTAAACTTTGCCTTTTGTGTAAATACTCTGTTTCAATAGAACTAATTCTTGAGTTCAAATTCACATGTATGGGGATGAAAACCACCTCAACGTAGAAAAGCAAATAAATTGCAAAGAACTATTAAATAAAATTTCTTAAAGGAGTTAAAAATAAAGATCACATTTTAAAAGTCATACTATTTTAAGATTTAGTGTTAACAATATTACCAATTCTTAATAGTCTGATTAATGGAGGGAGGTATTAATGAAATGTACAAATAACTTATTTATTTCAATTGACTCCTTAGATTTCAATCATAACCCTTTCCCCACACAAGTAAAGAGTAGCTAAACATAGTCGAAGTGATAGATTTTCACCTTCTCTGGCTTATTCAGTCTGCCCTCTGGTGGAAGTGCTACTGAACGGTAAAATGGCCAAAAGAGAGGCAGCAGGGGAGAAACAAAAATAGGAGAGACAGGGAGAACTGGATAATCCAGGGGTGGCTAATAATGAGGAGTGGTATTTTTATTCTCCTCCGAAAAGTAAATCCAACAATTTCTGGCCATAGGCCAGGCCTTAATTTTAGTTCAATCTCACCATTTGGCTGATAGCTTGTTAGCTCAATTATTGGGTGAATTTCTTTCAATCACTGTATTATTTAATTTGAACGACTTCTTCCAGGTATTTTGATTATAGCTGAATTTTTCTGCTGGGGTGGGGAGGAGAAGGAAGGTATGGGAGAGGAGGCAAAAAGCCCTGCTTTAATTCTAGATTAGCTTTCTCTGTTATTTCATATTCTAAAGTCTCTTAAAAGCAACTGGAATCAGTATGACAGGATAACAAGGTGAATCAAAAAACACATTAAAAAGAAACATATTAAGAAAAGTACACCAGTCCTAATTCTGCCTCTGCCAATAATACGGTTCCAGCAGTGGGACCATAGGCAGGCTTATTTAAACTCCCTCGATTTCAGTTTCCCTATCTGTAAAGTAAAGGGGTTAATTTTATTTATGTTATCTTCCAGTTTTAAAAAGCTTTACATGTGAAAAATAGCTTATATTATTTGTATACCAGTAGAAAAAAGGCATATACTTTCCGCACCATCCAATATGAAATGTGAATGTACGACAACCTAAAGTTGAAGGTTAGTGTACTTCCTCAGCCCTTGTGCCTCTTCTCATTCCCCAATTCATGGGGTCTTCATGGACAGCGAAAATTTCCAACGAGATGAAAACACTTTCAGACAAGTAAGCATTTTGCAAATAGACTGTAAATCAGAATTAGAAAATTTAAACTTTTCTTTCCTCTAATAAAATTGTGTGCTGTGGTCATGCCAGATCAAGGTATAACATATTTCCTTTTTCAGATTTTTCTTTATGTAATGCTCACTTCCTAATTTGGGGTCCATTCAATTGTCTCTTTTAGAAAAACAGATTTTTAAAAAGCATTTTTATACACTCTAATTTTGGGGGAAAGGAAATGTATGGTGTCAGTTATCTACTTAGAAATATTTCCAAATTACTCCTCAGGAGATTAACAATGGCATTTTATTAGAGTTTTCTTGACTATATCTTTCAGGTAAGACTGGTATCCAGTATTCACTACATTAGAGTAAAATTGACTACTAGTACAATCTGATGATGGTTTATATTTGGAAGGCAGATTTTCAAGTGCTAGTACTAGTTGGCCACCAATCACACAGTGGTTCAAGATGTATCACTAGCTACGGTTGTGGTTTCCTTGGGTTGGAATACATAGGCTTTACTTACCTACCTCCTAGGAAATGGAAAAACAATCAGTATATTAAAGGTGCTTTGAGAAGCTCTGAGACTTAAATAGAAGCCGGGAAAGAAATACATCATTGGGTGCTATGTTCTCCTGTAGACTAGGTTACAGAAAACTGAAACTGAGGCCACTGATGTGAAAAAGAAAATGTTAAAGAGATTTTTTAAGAGGATCAACAGCACCTGAGCTCAATGAGATTCATGACCGGTCTGTTTACCTGCTGCCTCCTCCTGTGGCATTGTGGGAGTTCTTCGGGGCACCTGTGGCCCACTGTTCTTGTCACTGTTGTTTTCCTCCAGGCTGCCTGTGGGCTCCTGGGTTTTCATCAGCTGACTCAAAAGAACTGCCAACATATTCTGCATGTCAGCTGGTGTGCTTGAAGCTTCAGAGGTTGTCTGTTCTGCTGAAGGCTGGACCACTAGGGCAGGAGGTGCCTCCTTCAAAGACTCCTCTGGGGCCATGGGCTCTGAGTCCTGCTGCTGGGAAGTGGCTTCAGTTAGGGCATTGATGGATTGGTTCAGGGCCTCCAGCTGCTGCTGCATCTCTGGGTTGGAGTGGATGTTAAGCAGCTGAGCCATTTGAGGGATGCTCAGGTCGGTTTGGCTCTGCAGCAGATTCAGTAACACTGCCAATTCACTTTGATTCAACTGCTGTGTGATGTCACCGAGGCCTGTGGACAGACAGTGGAGCCAATATAAGAGGATGAGGCAGATTAAAGACCTTTGCCTTCTTCAACTGGCAATAACTACTTACAATATTCAATGTATGAAGTTTCATTTTGAATATCTCATTTTTCATGCCTCAAATTATCAAAATAATTTGTTATTCTTTATATTTTCACTTAAAAATATAGGAACAAGCTTAAACATCTCTGTACTGTGAGTAAAAGTGATTTCATTTTACCTATATTCTTCAAGGTCAGTGACTTATAACCCTTATTGTACATCAGAATTACTAGGAGAGATTGTAAAATTCAGATGCCTCAGTTTCCATCCCCAGAGATCTGGCAATTGTTCAGGAGTGTTTACTTTTCAAGCTTCCCAGATGATTTGAATGTGCAGCCAGTGTTAAAAACCACTCTAGTAGGTGGACAGGGAAGGGAAAGTGAGCCATGGAAAGAATACCTATAGTTCAGAAAAACTGATGGTACCAGAGGAGAACTACTTTACTATAATAGTTCCCTATTACACAGTTTTGGATATATTTAGATCAAATAACCTTCTACAGAACTAACTACATTTAATAGCAATTGTAATTTAAATGATTAGATTCTAAGAAGGTCTTAACAAATCTAACATAAACAGAGCTCCGAATTACATGTTAGAGAACCATGGGTAAATGAACCTTAAATATGGCCCAATTTACTGATTTATGCTATACATCTAGTTGAGATATAGTATTCCCACTTTCTTGAAAGGAAAATAATCTATTGTAGACTTTCTAGACCACACGTACAAAACTTGGTTTAGCTCCTTCTCCTCATAATGAGGTCACTTCTTTATTAATGCTTTAGTGGCTAAAAACTAAAACACACACACCTTTGCACTTGACCATCAAAACCTGCCCTAATGTCCTTAAAGCACAAAAACTCCATCCCAAAACTGACCTATTGCATCCCCAGTTCCAGGCTCCACCTTGCCAGGAGCAGGCTGAGGTGGTGCTGGGGGGCTGTTCTTCACAGGCTCAGCACTTGTCCCTGAGGTAGTTTCTTTCCGAGAGGCTTTGGATGGAGGTGGCTCTTCTATCACAACACCACTCTGTCGCTGTCGTCGCCGTTTCTTACTCCATAATTCGTGGCAATCCTGCCAGTGGGGGAGGCTGCAAAAAAAACAAAGCAAAGGGGAAATGTGTGGGGGACTGCATCAGTGAGTGAATGGATGAACAAGAGATTAAAATGTGAAGGCAAAGAGCAGAGGGAAATGGAAAGAATAACATAAAAATTACTAGAAATATTAGTTAATAGATAGTAGCAGTGTAAAAGGGATCATGGCATATGGTAGTCTGAGGAAATCAAAGTCCAAAAGCCCAAGAGATTTCTACAGTGAGAAATAAGGATCTTGCTACTATCAGAGACACGCCTACTATATAAATGCCCACATTCCAGTCAAATAGTTAATTAAGTCTTACAACTGTTCTTGCTTTGTATAACAAGAATATAGGAGAACTTTAGTGGTCAAGTTTCAATAGGGAATAAATAGGACAGAGATGACTGGCTTGTTAGTATCTACAAAAAGCCCAGGCAAGGTGGTGAACCACTGAGTATAGTATTATTAAATCACCTTTGTGTAAAAACAATTTATGTGTTATCTGTTCTGTGAGGACCAAAAAACGGGTTCTTTTCTTCTTTCTACCCACTGAATTTCCCTGACTCGATATTTTGTGGGGTTTATTAGTATATTTTAATATATTTCCAGATTTCTTCATATTCGATAATACAAACAGTCCTGGCAAGTCAAATCTTATTACAATAAAGATTACCAGAGTCAAAATCTCTCTATAGTAAGAGCTTCCAAATTTCAGTAAAAAGCTTATGTATTTCAAGCCACATTCAATGTATCAAAATTCTACTGCAATAAATGAATCTGGACATTTCTTTGGAACAATTAGATTTATGGTTACTATCGACTCAGTCTTTAAATACTGTGTATTTAAGATAAGATAGTTTCTTTATGTAAAAAAAAAATACGCAAAGACTCTGACATGGAAGCTATAACACTGTCAATGATAAATTCAAAGATACAAGACTTTTTATCTGCCAAATGTGAAACATGAGTGTAGAATCTCAGACGATCCTACAGAATACAGAAAATACAGAAGATTCTGATGAGAGAGAGACAGTCAAAGACCCTATTTTCAACATCAAAATTCGGGATATATGACCTGACAGTGATGCAAACTATTTAAAATTAGGACTGTCCTTCCAAATGTGGGCTATACATGGTCACCACAGACATAGGAGATTCAAGCAAATGAAATGGGTAAGAGCAAAATCTAGAAGGAATACTTTCAAAGCAGTTGTAGTACAGGGCAATATATGCTGGGGATTCAGGGACAAAAAGACAGCTTGAGTCAAATTAGAACAAATATCCTATCTAAATCTATTCCTTATTTAAAAAGAAAACATAAAGCAGTAAAACAAACCTCTTATCAACCATAATACTCAAGGGCACCTCTCCATTCTGGACTTAGCCATTTGCAATTCCTTCTAAAAACCTATTATTTTGAGTTTCTCATCTCTTCAGGCTTAGTGAGAGGTTTAGGGTCACTATTTGGCCAGCAGCACTTACTCTGGAGGATCCATTTTGCTGAGCTCAACATCTTTAAGGAAGTCACTCTGTAAAGTCTGTTCAGCTGTGCAACGTTTGCTAGGATCTAGTGTCAGCATGTGGTCCAGTAAATCAAGTGCTGCTGAAGGAATGCTGTGGAAAGAACAAGTTCACAATGACCCCAAAATTCTTAAACCTGTAACCTTGTGTCAAAGGTCTCTGAATTTCCAGCTCCATGTAAAACTGTGGAAAGGGAGCTAGAAGCTGGCTAAACAAGCAAGCAGACTTGCTCCCACACTGGATTTATGCAGTGCTATAATACAGGTATAAAACATGAAGCCAGCAATTCCATTCCCTTTTTTATCGTGGGAAGACCAAAAGGACTATGAGAAAATTTATATATTGTTCAAAACAAAATGATTTCCTATCATCTAAAGCCTTTAGGGGTGCCTGGCTGGCTTAGTCGGAAGAGCATCAACTCTTGATCTCGGGGTCGTGAGTACCAGCCCCACAATGGGTGTAGAGATTACTTAAATAAAAACAAACAGTGGCTCAGATGGTTAAGTGTCTGCCTTTGGCTTGGGTCCTGGGATCGAGCCCCATCTCGGGCTCCCAGCTCAGCGGGGAGTTTGCTTCTCCCTCTGCCTCTCCCCCTGCTTGTGCTCTCTCTCTCAAATGAATAAAGAAAACAATAAAAAAATAAAAAAAATATAGCCTTCATAAGAGAAAATTACAACAGCACTATGATAAAATTCATATACTGTTCAAAGATAAAATGTTTTCCTGTGGTGTGCTGCCATAATAAGTTGGGACAACACTAACTCCCCAGGCCAGAAAAAACTCAAGTCTAAATACCAGTTAAACACAGAAACAAGATGTACATTTTTGCCAAACTCACAAAGAGAATTCTTCTCGCAGACGCCTTCTATATTGCTTCTTCGGTTTCATGGTATTGAAGTAGGGCAGCTTGATAACATCAGGCCACACAGCTGGACAAGGGCTACCACAGAGTCGACTGAAAACAAAGCAAAAAAGCCAGAACAAGAAGTAAGTGAGTCACCATTGTGAATTCTGGAGATTACAGAAGCAGAAATTATTACCTCCTAAGGTATGGGGAATCTTGGCTTATTAAATTAGAGGGCATGCAGAAAGGTAAAACCTGACCTCACTGCTTTAAGGACAGAAGGAATAGGACAGAAACAACTGGTTACAAGGTAGTGAAGAGAAAATCCTGGCAAAAGAGTCCAAAATGATCCATATACTTGGTTCTGTAAAACATGTTTTTAAAATCTCCATAAAAGTTTTCATTATCAATTTTGTTCTGTTCAGTAGTATTAAAGTGATGAGCTGGTCCTACAATGTCCCTATAAGGAAAACTGGCAGAAGAGAGCCTAAGAAATTTTGATAGAAAACTGAATTTAATGCATAACAAATAATGAGTTATACACCACCTTTAATTATCTGTTTACATGCTGTACCACTTACTAAATTCTGAGCTCTTTGAAGGCAAGGACCTATCTTACATATTTCTAAATCCTAAAGTTTAACAGAGAAAGGAATTTGTTATAAACAGGACTAAGGCCTGTTTGCTGAATAAATCTGATCTTAATCTAATCTAGGAATGAAATAGCCACACTGAAAATGGCATGCTTTTATATGAAGAATAAAAAAAAATTGCAAAGACCTAAAAAGTCTAAAAAGGGGGAACCTAAAAGGTAAGACCTTTAGTAAGACCTAAAAAAGGGGAATACAACTTCTTTACACCTACAGCCTGTGACAAAATAATCTGAGAAACTTACTTGGACATAAGAAGCATAAACTCATTTAGTAGAATGGACAAAAAGTATTAGAAATTAAAAGATGCGACCACCTATCACACCTGGGGACCTAGAGCACATGCACAGCTGTACCTGATCAGTTCTAGCTGAGCCAGTTCCAGATTGGCTTGAAAAATAGGCTTCTTTGTGAACAGTTCCCCAAGGATGCATCTAGAAGGAGTAAAATTGAGAGGTCAAGAGAGATATCCCTAGAACCTAACCTGTCTCAATAAACTTTTATAGTCTATCTGGCTGCATCTGATATACCATGTTGTAAATAAGCCCCAAACTGCAGTGTCTGAGTTTTGTAAAAGAAAATATTTCTCGAAGTGAGAATAGATAATATAAAGAATTTATATTTACCAGGAGATCAAACTTTTGCCACCTATTAAGTCTATAAGTAGAGAAAATGAATCAGAATCCTTTTCTATCAATTCCATTATAAATTAAGAAGACTAAAAAACCCATACTTCAATTTTACAAGGATGCTCAGCAGTTCCTATAAAGAAATTAGCTTTTCCACTCATTTGCTCTGTAAAATGTGCAATATACTACAGCCCTCTTAGCACTGTATTTATAAAGAAACATTTACTGTCATCAGATACCAGTTTCAACAGGACTTTCAAACACATTATGCTTAAATGCCTTTTCCATTTTGAAAATGTCTTCCAAATTATACTGAAATATTTACGAAGTCCCCAAATATGTCTCCACAAATTACTTAATTACAAAAGGAAAACTAGTAACTATTTAGTGGGGAAAAAGACAACACCTTAATTAAGTGTCCAAAATTAGTATCACCAATAAGAGGGAAACGGTTCACGTAAACACAAATGTGATAACCTGAAAGGAACACTTATGGACTATTCCAGCCAAAACTTTATAACCTGAATCTATATAGTAGCCGGTCTGTCCTTCAAAAAATGTAAATGTCATGAAAATGTAAATGTCATGAAAGACAAAGGCTAAGGACTGTTTCAGAGTAAAGAATGAGAACTAGGGGTGCCTAGGTGGCTCAGCCAGTTGGGCATCTGCCTTCGGCTCAGGTCATGATCCCAGGGCCCTGGGATTGAGCCGAGCCCCGCATCGGGCTCTCTGCTCAGCAGGGAACCTGCTTCTCCCTCTCCCTCTGCCTGCTGCTCTGCCTACTTGTGATCTCTTTCTCTGTGTCAAATAAATAATTAAAATCTTAAAAACAAACAAAAAACAACAAAAAATGTAAATGTCATGAAAGACAAAGGCTGAGGACTGTTTCAGAGTAAAGGATGAGAACTAGGGGCACCTTGGTGGTGCAGTCAGTTAAACCGACTCTCGGTTTCAGCTCAGGTCATGATCTCGGGGTCCTAGGATAGAGCCCCGCATTGGGTTCTGTGAGCTTAGCATGGGGTCTGCTTGAGATTCGCACTCCCTCTCCCACTCATGCACTCTCTCTCTAAGATAAATAAATCTTAAAAAAGTTAAAAAAAAAAGAATGAGAACTAAATGTAATACATGATACTGGATTAAATCCTCTATGATTTATGAGGTATTGTTTCTAGGATATTATTAGGGTATTGAAAAAATAAGAACATGGAATGTAAGCTAAACAACTTAAAAGATAGTGTATCAATGTTAAATTTCCTGAATTTGATAATGGTACTGTGATTATATATGAGATATATCTTTGTTCTTAAGAAATGTATATTAAGGGCAACTAGGTGGATCAGTCGGTTGAGCATCTGCCCTCAGCTCAGGTCATGATCCCAGGGACTTGGGATTGAACCCCAGATCGAGCCCCACATCAAGCTCCCTGCTCAGCGGGGAGTCTGATTCTCCCTCTCCCTCTGCCTGCTGCTCCGCCTGCTTGTGTTCTTTAATAAATAAATAAAATCTTTTTTAAAATGTACATTAAATATTAAGAAGGGACAGAGCACAATATATACAACTACTTTCAAATAGTTCTGGAAAAAAAATGTGGTGTGCATACACACCTACATGAATATAAAAGCAAATGTGGCAAGACGTTAACAATTAGTGAATCTAACATGAATAAATCTCAAAATAATTATGTGGAGTAAAAGATGCAAGAGAGAAAAAGAATATATACTGCATGATTCCATTTACATGAAAATCTAGAAATGGAAATCAATCTACAGTGACAGAAAGCAGAATAGTGGTTGCCTAGGAATGGTACAGTGTGGACAGGAGAGAGATTACAAAGGAACGTACGGAAACTTTCAGAAGTCATCATTATCTTGGTTGTGGTGATGGTTTCACTGGTGTATACAATATGTCAAAACTTAAATTGTACATTTTAAACATATGCAGTTTATTATATACCTCAAAAGGTTAAAAAATTTTAGTAAATATGGATGAAGGCTATACTAAAGTTCTTTGTACTCTTCTAGGAACTTTTCTGTACATTTGAAATTATATGAAAATTAACCTACATAGTTAAGTTTTCATAGTGTTATATTAGTTTCAGGTGTATAATATAGTAATTTAACAGTTCCATACATCACCCAGTGCTCATCACAACAAGTGTACTCCTTAATTTCCATCACCTATTTAACCTATCCCCCCATATCAACATAAATTCAAAACAAATGAAAACAAACTCCATGAATACTCTGTACTTTTTTGTATTCCTATAATACTTCATTTTTTGAAAAGTGGGAAAAGAAAGAAAATGGACAAAAAAATCTCCTCTGGCCTGTGCTTTAAAATCAGATTTACAAATACAAAAGCAGTATTTATAGTTTTACCCTGAATTCTTTAGCATGACTAAATTTGAGAAGCAAAACAAATCTAGTTTTCAAAGTTATTAGCACCTTTCTATTAGCATTTGTTAACCTCAAATGACAAATTCTTACTTCATATTCACTCAAACCTTATCCAGAAATTAGAAAAGTAAAAGTAGGGACACCTGGGTTGCTCAGTCAGTTAAGCATCCAACTCTGGATTTCGGCTTGGGTCATGATGTCAGGGTTGTGGGATTGAGCCCCATGTCAGGCTCCGCACTCAGCAGAGAGTCTGCTTGAGTTTCTCTCCTTATGCCCCTCCCCTCTCTCTCTAAAATAAATAAAGCTTTAAAAATTAAAAAAAGTAAATGTAAAATTTAACTCTATTTCCGACATTAACCACTAAATCAAATTCCAAACAGTGTTGTCACAACTGGTAACATAAGGAAGAAGAAAAACAAACCTAGGTGGGTTTTCAGAATGTAGGCATAATGTGCTGTACTAGTCTTTCTAGTTTCTCCTTCACAAGACTTCCATGGATCACCAAAGTAGTAAGCTCACATCAAATGTCTAGCAAAATCTTAATTCAATGAAGTTACTGGGCTTTAATTAAAGTCTAATCTATAATTTTAATTTCCAAGTTGTGTTTCGGTGTTTTATTTCAGTTTCCAGTTCTTTGGTGGGGAAGGCATTATTATGTAATCAACACTTTGCTATTACACTGAGGTGGCAGGCTGCACACACTGAAATAATAGTACCAACAGAGCTATGAATTTTCCCTGTGTATCTTAATGGGGCGTTAACTTTAGAGCCTAGTTGTAACAATTTAAATGCTAATACTGTTAAAGCAAATAGTCCAGAATACAAACACACCCAGCTTGAGTCAGTAAAATTTAACTAAAGCTTCATTTGAGTTGGGTAGGCTACCACAGAAATTATGCTCTCCTTATCACCCTTTTGAATTTTGAAATAAAACCCCTGCAGTGCTCCTTTTAAAGACTGACATTAATACAGGAGGGAATTAATGGGAAAAAAGGATATGCTCCACTTGCAAGTATCTATGTCAGAACCCTAAGGTATGGAGGTCAAGGACAGAGTGTATATGCATAAATCATACAGTATCAAAAACAATTAACTAACTTCTGGGGCGCCCAAGTGGCTTAGTTGGTTAACTGTCTGCCTTTGGCTCAGGTCATGATCTCAGGTTCCTGGGAACGAGCCTCCCGTGTCAGGCTCCCTGCTCAGCGGGGGACTCTGCTTCTCCCTCTCCCCTTGCTCACTCTCTCTCTCAAATAAATAAATAAAATTTTAATAAAATAAAATGATCTCACAACCCTGAGGTCACGACCTGAGTAGAAATCAAGAGTCAGCTGCTGGGGTGTCTGGGTGGCTCAGTCAGTTAGGCATCTGTATATTTTCCCACAGTAAAAAAAGCAACAATAATTGCTACCTCCTAGGGATGGCATTTATGTAAGTGTCAGGAAGAAGCATGGTAGATCCTTGGTCAGTGGTGGCTGAGATGGAACAGCTGGTGAGGCCATTCAGGTAAGGGGGAAATGTGTGTGTGTGTGTGTGTGTGTTGCGGGGGCTTATACACTACAGGACATATAATGAAATCACCCAAAAGCCCTGGGTTCAAATGTGAGCTCTACAATTCCACCACCAGGTGACCCAGGGCAAGCTCTCCTAAGCCTAAAGTCCAGGTTCCCTCTCTGTGTATAGAACAGGCCAAGTCTGGGCACCTGGGTGGCCTAGTCAGTTAAGCATCTGCCTTCGGCTCAGGTCATGATCCCAGGTTCCTGGGATTGAGCCCTGTGTCGAGCTCCCTGCTCGGCAGGGAACCTGCTTCTCCCTCTCCCTCTGCCACTCCCCCTGCTTTTGTGTGCTCTCTCTCTCAGATGAATAAATAAAATCTTAAAAAAAAAAAAAATCTCGGGCGCCTGGGTGGCTCAGTTGGTTAAGCGTCTGCCTTCAGCTCAGGTCATGATCCCAGGGT